GGGCCCTGCCACGGGTGTGCTGCAAGGCTTCTGCCTTCACCAGGTCGCGAGGTTAAAACAACCAGCGCCCTTACTGCACCCTTACTGGAGGGTGGGGACGGGGACGTGCTGTCTGTCCTGCTTGCACGAAGCAGCCCGGCCGTGCATCCTCACAGGTGCCTGATCCCGGAGCGGCAGAGCCCCGGCTGCAGAGAGACCCGTACCCGTCCTGCTCACTCGCGTTCCTTTTTGACGTGCGTGCGTGTGTGTGTGTGTGTTTTGCCTGCATGCATGTAAGTGCTTCACTTGTGCGCAGTGTCTTTGAGGCCAGAAGAAGGCGTTAGATCTCTGGTACTGGAATCATACTTGTGAGCCACCATGTGGGTGCTGGGAACTGAACTGAATGAACCCAGGTCCTCTGCAAGAGCAGCCAGTGCTTTTAGCCACTGGGCTGTCTCTCCAGCCCCTTAATCTGTAGCTATTAAAAATTTACTTACTTTTATTATATTATGTGTGCCGGGTGTGTATATGTGTGCCGTGTGAATGCAGTTGCCTGCGGAGGCCAGAAGAGATTGTTCACATCCTCTGGAACTGAGTTACAGATGGCGTGAGTTGCCACGTGGGTGTTGGGAACTGAACCCCGACTCCTCTGCAAGAGCAGCCTGTGTGCTTAAGTGTTGAGCCATCTCGTGTTGAGCCATCTCGCCAGCCTTGGGAAACATTCTTTGTAATAAACTAGTGAACAAGAGCGTTTCCCAGAGTTTTGTGAGCTGGTCTAGCAAATCAGTGGAGCTGGAAGAAGAAAGACCATAGAAACTTTTCTTTTTAACTTACTAATTTTTATTTTGTATGCATTGGTGCTTTGCCATGGGTGTCAAGTCCTCTGGAACAGGAATTACACAGTTGTGAGCTGCCATGTGGGTGCTGGGAACTGAACCCTGGTCCTTTGAAAGAGCAGTCAGTGCTCTTAACCACCGGGCCATCTCTCCAGCCCCCAGACCATAGGAATTTAACTTGTAGCTGGGCTGTGTGACTAGTATGACTGATATGAAGTGGTGACTGGGAATTGATGCTGCCTGCAGGTTGGAGTGCAGAGCACCTAGTTGGTGAGCCTACACATTTGGGATCACAGCAGCCGTCTGTGTGTGGGCATCTGGTAGGAGACACTGAACCTCTGTCTTTCTGGAGAAGCCTCTAGTCTTTCCTCAGTGTAATCCATTTGTTTGTTTCGGTGGTTAGAGTTCCTCATGTGTCAGGACAGCAACCCCTTGTGGGGTTCATGCCTGAGTGCCCAGGGTGCATAGGCAGCGTTGTTTGCAGGAAGCACCTGCACTGGACCTGGGCCTGCACAGATCTCTGTGTTTCCTGCAGGCTGTGTAGCCTCTGCCTTGAATCCACTGAGCTAAACCCTTCAGTAGTGACACCTGAGTGGTTGCTGGGTCCAGAAGGATAGCGTATGCGTAGAACAGGGGTGCATTATTGGTGTTCAGAAAAGGGAAGAGGAGTGAGAGACCCCATTTGTCTGGGTGCTGGGTTTCCAGTGAGGGAGCTATTGGGAATACCCTGGTGCAAGGGGGTCAAAATACTGCTCCCCACAATGTTTAGAGTATCCTTTTAGCATGAAGCATAAAAGACCCTAAGACAGATATGGGATTGAGCTTCAAGCTGAAGATCAGAAAAGCAAAGCAGCTGGCCACTTGCTCTTACCTCTACCTCAGACTGAAAGGCGATCCTGGCTCCACCCAACCTCAAACTGCTGTCTCTCCTCAGTGTGGCTGAAGAATCCTGAGACTTCAATGTCTTCCTGTCCTCAATGTGGCTGGAGAATGGATGTCTTAAATACCTCCCTAATGCTGGGATTAAAGGTGCTGAGATCATCTTTGTGTGTGCTGTTTCTCTTTAGGCCTGGATCAGTTTCTGGTAGGTCAAGTGTGGCCTTGAACTAACAGAGATCTGTCTGCCTCTGCCTCCCAAGTGGTGGGATTAAAAGTGAGTACCACCACTGCCTGATCTCTATAGCTTGTGGCTGACTTTGCTTTCTGAATCCTTAGGCACCCTTTAATAAATCAAATAATATATCACCACACATTACCCCCCATTTGAAGGACCAAGTGTGACAAACTGATGACAAGATGGTTGTGTTGGGAGTGCAGCACCATTATGTTCAGGTGTTGAGAGTGTAGCCTTCTTCACTGATTCTGACTGGTTGGCTTTCCTCATGGTGTTCTGGGCATCATTGCAAATCAGGAGGGTGAACACCCTCCATACTGCAAGAGAGCCACTGCTGGGGTGGGGCTGGTGCTTGGCCTGGTTGGGATTTTTCTGAGGATCCTTCCCTTTAGGTTGGTTACAGTATGCATAGTTGAGACTGTCTAATTCATAAAGTTAGGGGATCCAGTCTTGATTTAAGAGAAGGGGACAGCCGGGCGGTGTTGGTGCACACCTTTAATCCCAGTACTCGGGAGGCAGAGGCAGAGGCAGAGGCAGAGGCAGAGGGGTGGGGGTGAGAGGAGGGGGGAAAAGAGGGAGGGAGGGGAGGGCACATGGGGCACATTGTGTACACACATGGGAGGTATCCTACTCAGGTGCCCTTGCCTGAACTGACATGTTCAGATGGGGTGAGGCTCTTCTGATATGCACAAACTACACACTTCTCCAGGCCTGGCATGTCAGACATGTGGCGAGGGCCTGAGAGTAGCAGTGTGCCGGTGCCCATGTGGACTTCCTGACAGAACCTGCTTTGCTGGCAGTAGCATGTTGCACACAAACCCCTGGGGCCTGGCTAGTGTAGCCTACCTCTCTCTCAGTGTATAGTCAGCAGTTTTGCTTTTTTGCTCCAAGCCTTGGCCAGCTCCTTCCAGGAACCTGTCTGGAGCATCTTCCTTAGGCAGTCCCTTTCTTTGGGATTTTTGTTTTTATTTATGTATTATTAGTTTTTTTTTTTTTTTGGTTTTGGTTTTGGTTTTTCAAGACAGGGTTTCTCTGTGGCTTTGGAGGCTGACTGGAACTCATTCTGTAGACCAGGCTGGCCTTGAACTCACAGAGATCCGCCTGCCTCTGCCTCCTGAGTGCTGGGTTAAAGGCGTGTGCCACAATGATTGGTTGGGACAGGATTTTGTGACTTCCAAGTGTCAGGATGACTTTAGCAACCTAACAAGATCTACTCCTGGAGCCTTGACTGAGAAGTGTGTTCCAGGGGGTGATGAGTAGAGTGCTCGGCTGATAGGGCCCTCCAGGTGCACAGCTGGGGAACCAGCATCCCAGGAGGAGGTTAGCCCAGCCCAAGGAATGCCCTAGATGGTACCAGTTGAGAATAGTAGGCCTCTGGACTTTCTGTATTTGGGTCTTGGTCCCTTCACAAGATGAGGTGAATATTGGAGACAACACCTGAGCTGGTGACCCAGGTTGGTCATTTTTGTGCTTACCTGTGGAATTCCAGGAGAAAGGAGCTGGGCTGTGCAGTTCATGCCACCAGCTCTCAGATCTGTCTGGCCGTTGGGTGGTCAGTGATAGAGTAGGATTTGGACCCTTCCCAGAGTGACTCCAAGTTCAGTCTTGGACAAGCAGAGTGTATCCTGGCTAGATGGGATTGTAGCAGGAGCCTCGTATACTTGCCCACAGGCATCTAGCCTCTGCCTGCAGGGTGAGAAGAAGGAAGCCCAGCTTCTGTCCTTGGTGCCTCTTGATATCTACCTCCTGAGAGTCATCTTGTTTTTTTTTTTTTTTTTTTTTTTTTTTTTTTTTTTTTTTAAAATTTATTTATTGACGCCGGGCGTTGGTGGCGCACGCCTTTAATCCCAGCACTGGGGAGGCAGAGGCAGGCGGATCTCTGTGAGGTTTAGACCCGCCTGGGCTACAAGAGCTAGTTCCAGGACAGCCTCCAAAGCCACAGAGAAACCCTGTCTCGAAACCCCCCCCCCAAAAAAAAAAGATTTATTTACTGTGTATACAGTGATCTGCTTGCACACCAGAAGAAGGCACCAGATCTCATTACAAATGGTTGTAGCCACCTTGTAGTTGCTGGGAACTGAACTCAGGACCTCTGGAAGAGCAGGCAGTGCTCTTAACCTCTGAGCCATCTCTCCAGCTCTCCTGAGTCATCTTGTTAAAAACTTCAAACTTACATAATGCCTCAGATTCTCAGTGGGTCTGGCTCCTGGGCATTTGTGAGTCTGGATCATCTAAAAGATGGCTTGTTTTTCTTTTGAGATAGGCCCCAGTGGGTAGCTCGTGTTGGTGTGGAGGTGGCTTGCACTCCTGCTGCTGCAGCTCCCCAGTGATGGGGCAATGGGGGATGCACCTCCAGGCCCAGCAGTGCCCCCGTTTTCTGTTTACAGAGTCCCTAATGTTGAATGACAGCTCTGTGACTCTAAAAATAAATGGTGTATGGGAGCCGGAGAGACGGCTCCCAGAGGACCCAGGTTCAATTTACAGCACCCACCTGGCAGCTTACAACTGTCTCTAACTCCAGTTCCAGGGGACTGGACAACCAATGCCCAAACACCGATACACATGAAATAAAAATAAATTTTAAAAAACCCACAAAAAATTAGTGTATGGCCTTTAAAATTATTTTATGTGTGTATGGGTGTTTGGCCTGCATGTTTGGTGTATGTCTGTCTGTACATCACCTGCATGCCTGATGCCCATGGATCCAGAAGAGGGCTCTGGATCCCCTAGAACTGGAGTTACAAATGGTTGTGAGCCACCATAAGGGTGCTAGAAACTGAACCCCGGGGGCTGGAGAGATGGCTCAGAGGTTAAGAGCACTTGCTGCTCTTCCAGAGGTCCTGAGTTCAATTCCTAGCAACCACATGGTGGCTCACAACCATCCATTATGAGATCTGGTGCCCTCTTCTGGTGTGCAGATGTACATGGAAGCAGAATGTTGTATACATAATAAATAAAATTTAAAAAAAAAAAAGACTCATTCTGTAAAAAAAAAAAAAAAAAGAAAGAGACTGAACCCCGGTCAATCCTCTATTAGAAAAAAAAAAAGTGCTCTTAACCACTGAGTGTCCCTGCTGTCCGCCTCTGTGACTTTCAGAGACTTTGGTCCATTCTTGTTTTCATCTCCAGGGTGGACCAGGTTGGAGTAACTCTCCATTTGAGTGGTGGACAGTGGGCAGCAAAGAGAGGCTGTTTTGCATACCTGTTCCTTGTACCAGCCTTAGGCATGGCACAGTAGTGAGCTCACTGTGTAGCCCTCGGCCCCAGGCTAAGGCCTTTATGTGCTGGTTCATGAGGGGGCTTCAGCTTGTGTACCTGGACTGTGTGTGCACACTGGAGTTAAGGGTTTGGTTCTGGCTGTAACTGCAGTTTCCCTTTTGTGCTGCAAGCACTTCTACTTTTCATTTAAACAAACAAACAAACAAAAAAACAGAGCTATTCTTAGAAAGTTTGGGCAAACCTGCACATGCAGGAGTTAGTCATAACAGTTTAAAAAGCACCCCCCCCCAAACCCTTGAACGTAAGTTGACAGCCCTTTGGTGAGTGAGCAAGGGTCTTGGCTGTAGCACCAGTGGCAAACGTGTTAAAAATGTCCGGTCTGAAGCCTAGCCTGCCTCCAGCGTCACTGTGTTTGTGGCGATCTCTTCTGGGTCTGGCAGGGGTTCTGCAGAGCAGCTGCTGTGTTTGGAGGGGTACTGGACGATGGATGCTGTCTGTGTTCCTGCATCTCACCCACTGGCACAGCTCTTCCTTTGCCACTGGCCTGGCCTGTACCTTTCTGTACTCCACCTTCCCGCACAAGCTCTGCTAGTTGGTGGGTGCCACCTGGTGGCGGCTGCTGTCTTGATCTGGCTTGGCTCAGGGGCTGTTCTGCAGCACCTAAACAGAGTAGTAGCTGGGTCTGTTGGAAGGCCGGTCTTGGATTCAAGCTCATAGGGAATACATCATTGGCTAGGTCTTGCTGAGCACATACAGTTTCCTCTTTAGAGCTGAGGGACCCCAGTCTTCTCTGCATGGAAGGACACTGACGCCGGCCTCCTCCCTGCCAGGTTTCCAGGGTGCTGCAGAAGGATGCAGAGCAGGAGTCGCAGATGAGGGCAGAGATCCAGGACATGAAGCAGGAGCTGTCCACTGTCAGTATGATGGACGAGTTCGCCAGATATGCTAGGCTGGAAAGGAAGATCAACAAAGTGACTGACAAGCTCAAGACTCACGGTACTTGTCTTGTAGTGGCTCGTAACCTGGCAGGGTCATGAGGGCCGATCAAGGGAGGGCCTTTGTGTATGGACTTGAGGTACATGCTTTGCTTCCTAGATGGCTAAATGAAAAGACCTCCCACAATAACTCTGCTTCTCCTTATTTGCTGGTAAACACTTTCTTTCTAGATCTAGAAATCATTGTAGATTTTTTCTTTATCCTCTGTAGATTTTCATTTTCAAGTTTGGCCCTTTACTGAGGGAAGTCCTGATGAAGATCACACAGTGGGTCCTCAGGGCACTTTGCCCCACTCACAGGAGCATGCCCACAGTGTGTAGACGTCAAGGAGCAGCTCTTGTGCCAAGGATGGTGCACACTTGAGCCCCAGTGCTCTGAGGCAGAGTCAGGCAGGTCTCTTTGAGTTCAAGGCCAGCCTGGTCTACACTGTGAGTTTCAGGCTAGCCAGGGCTAATTAGTGAGACATACACAAATACATGCACATATGTGCATGCTCTCTCTCTCTCTCTCTCTCTCTCTCTCTCTCTCTCTCTCTCTCCCCCTCTCTCCTCTCCCTCTCCCTCCCCCCCCCCCTCTCTCCTCTCTTTCATGCATGTATGCACACACACGTGTCTCTGGAGAGCAGTCTGCCTGAGAAGCCCTGGTGGGCTTGTAAGGTAGAGCAGGCTGCACACTGTAGAACAGGCCTGTGCAGGTCTGGGAGACCTGGACTCTGGTGGAGGTTCAGTGATGGCTTGGGTTAGAAAATGGAGATGACGTTTAGTCCTGTTGGTGGGTGGTAAGTGTGGTAAAAAGAGTCTCTGATGAATAGCAGTCTGAGTAGGCTTGTACATAAATAATAGCATAGTGATACAGCTTTTTAAATTTTGTGAGTCAGCATACAGAATAAGGAGTTTCATCATGGTATTTCATACTTAAAGTACTTTGTCGTATTTGATATTTTTAAGTATATTGATTATTTTGTTTAAAAATAGAAGGTGTTTTATAAGGGAAAATAGCATTTTTGTGTATTTAGTTATTTTCTCTATTTTGCAGGACTAGTTCATGTTTCACCTTCTTTTCCTTTCAGTGAAAGCGCGGACAGCACAGTTGGCCAAGATCAAATGGTTTATAAGCGTCGCTTTCTACATTCTGCAAGTGAGTGTGTGGTGTTGCCCGGGCTCTGGACAGCGGTTCATTCCTTTCTTTTTTCTGCTTGTGTGCGTGTGCGTATGTGGGTGTATGCCAGTGTTTTACGTCGTGTACGGAGGCCAGAGGTGGATGGATGTTGGGTGTCTTCCTCGAGTGCACTGCTCTCCAGCTTATATATAGAGGCAGGTTCTTTCCCTGAACCTGATTTAGCTAATCCAGTCAGCTTCTTAGAGACTCCTTGTCTCCATGAGCTCTGAAATATAGACACTGGGCTGCTTTGCTCTCAACATCTATGTGGGTGCTGGGGATCAAAGCTGCATGGCAAGCTCTTTACCTGCTGGGCCATTTATACAGCTCCCTGCTGTGAATTTCTGAGACTGAAGAAATATGTTGGAGACCTAGGTTCTCAGAGCTGGTTTGCCTTGCTCTACCCAGAAGCTCCTTGCTGGCTGGTGGGTGTAAATAGTGTTCCCATCCTCCAGGTAGGAAACCAACTTTTTTCTTTTCTTTTTCAGATTTATTCTTTTTGTTTTTTTTATGTAAATTAACCTATTTATTTCTGGTGGCTAGGCAGGTCTCAGGCATTAGCACTTGTCCTGGTCTTTCAGTTCCTTCCGTCTTCTGATGGCAGACTTCACTGTGACCGCAGTAGTGTCGTAGGTCCAGGCCCCAACAGGCACCGTTTTCATGCAGGAACTACAGTGCCAGATGCCAACGGCTCATCTATTCATCTTGGTCTTGCCACAGAAGGAGCAAGTATACTTGGCGTGCTGGCTGATTTCAATTTTCTTTACCATTTTCCGGAGGGAGGCACCATAGTGGGTCCAGTATTTCCCAACGATCCTGACCTTCTTGGTGCGTTTAGCCATGTCTCCAGAACCTAAGCCCATGCCCGGAGAGCTGGTTTTTTTGTTTTAAAGATTTTATTTATTATGTATACATAATAAAGCCTCCATGTATGCCTGCAGGCCAGAAGAGGGCACCAGATCTCATTACAGATGGTTGTGAGCCACCATTTGGTTGCTAGGAATTGAACTCAGGACCTCTGGCAGAGCAGCAAGTGCTCTTAACCTCTGAGCCAGCTCTCCAGTCCCTTTTTGGTTTTTTTTTGAGACAGGGTTTCTCTGTGGCTTTGGAGGCTGTCCAGGAACTTGTTTTGGAGACCCGGCTGGTCTCCAACTCACAGAGATCCGCCTGCCTCTGCCTCCCAATTGCTGGAATTAAAGTAAAGGTGTGCACCACCACTGCCTGGCATTTTTTTTTTAAATTTATTTTTATGTGTGTGGGTGTTTTGCATGCAACTATGTCTGTATACTATGTGTGTGCCTGGTGTCCTTAGAGGTCAGAAGATGGCATCAGATCTACTGGGACTGGATTTAGAGATAGTTGTAAGCAACCCTTTGGGTGCTGGGAATTAACCCAGATCTCCTGCAAGAGTAGGCAGTGCTCTTTTTTTTTTTTTTTTTTTTTTTTTTTTTTTTTTTTTTTTTTTGTTTTTTGTTTTTCAAAAGAGGGTTTTTTTTTTGCGTTTTGAGACAGGGTTTCTCTGTGTAGCTTTGGAGCCTGTCCTGGAACTCACTCTGGAGACCAGGCTGGCATCAAACTCACAGAGATCTGCCTGCCTCTGCCTCCCAAGTGCTGGGATTAAAGGCGTGTGCCACCAATGCCCGGCTGGGTAGGTAGGCAGTGCTCTTAAATGCTGCCAACCAGTTTTTCTCATTACTTGGCCCCTGGTACTCTTACCTTCCTGGGAGACTGTTGGTGCTGCTGGTACGTGGCTGTACAACTGACTAACTCATCACATGTCAGCAGCTGCCGTGAGTGACCTGGGGTTTTAGTGCTCTGTGTGGGGGTCTTTCCCAAGGTAAACACTCGTGCCAGTTTCCCTAAAGATGAGGTGTGGACAAAGGCTGAGGTGAGTTGGCTCAAGGCATTCTTACTTGATAAGCTTGTGTTCCACAGAGAGGCATCTGGCAGGCACCCTCTTCAGCCTGCTCATTTGATCAGAGCGTTTGGGGCAACAGAAGTTGCTTCTGGGAAAGGATAAGAAGTAAAACAATTTTCACCAGCTTGGAACTGGTGGGGGTGGCAGAGGGATGACCTCTGCACAGAGGACCACACTGTGTAGGGAGGAATGTGCTTATTAGGATCTTGGAGTCATGGCTGCTTTTATATGGCATGCAGATCAGCTGCTGAGAATAGACATTGTGGGCGGGCTCAGCTCATTTAAATAGTGAATTATGGCTTCTGTGTGGAAGGATAAAATGCCAGTTCCCACCAGAAGGCCCACCCACCTGTTACCAGTGTGTGATGTTCCATCTCAAGTCCTGTGTGTGTGTGTGTGCTTGCTTGCTTGCATGCATGTATGTCTGTCTGTGCGTGTGTGTCTACATGTCACTTCGAGGACTGGCTGGGGTGTGAGGCCTCCACTCACCAAGTCTTCCTCCAGGCAGCACTGATGATCTCGCTCATTTGGAAATATTACTCCGTCCCTGTGGCTGTGGTGCCCAGCAAGTGGATCACCCCGCTAGACCGCCTGGTAGCCTTTCCTACTCGAGTAGCAGGTAGGCGGTAGAGGTTCATAAATGGAGGGTTCATAAATACTCAAGGGTCCTTGGGTAGGAGGAGGAAATGTTAGACTCACTGTGTGAGCTTCTTCCTAAGGCTGCCCTGTGACCTCAGCCTCTCCCGAAGGCCCCACCTAATGCTATCCCCAGGGTCAGGACCTGAGTATATTAGGGTGCAAACATGCAAGTCATAGCACTCTGTCAGTAAATTTCTTTGCCAAACAATCTTCTTGTTACTTGAATTTTCTGGTTGGGACACTTTCTCAGGTCCTGATTTTTGCGAATAGAGATGTTACTTCTGGATGTGGTGGGTCGTGCCTGTAATCCCAGCCTCTGAGAGGCCCAAGTGTGTGGATTGCTGCAGGTTCAAGGCCATCGGGGACTACACTGTAAGAGCCTGTAAAAAACAAGGTGTATATTGTTGCCAGTGATGGGTTCTGATGTGTGATCATACTGCAGTGAAACACATGATTGAAAGGAGGCAGTTTCAAGGACCTTCAGTTTAGTTGTGCTCTGTTCCCCCTCCTCCCTCTCTGCTTCCATTGCTGGGCTCAGGTCTAAGGAGCCCAGGCTGCCCGCCCTTGCTGGCACTCTGCTGAGTTGCTGTCTTTGCAGCCTGGGGAGGGAGGATGAAGACGACTTCACTTTAGGCCTGAAAAACCATAATTTGGTTTACAGTGCTTTTTTTTGTTGTTGTTGTTTTAATAATGTTATTCTTGTTTGTTTTTTTGGTTTTTTTTTTAGATTTTGTTTATTTATTATGTATACAACATTCTGCTTCCATGTATATCTGCACACCAGAAGAGGGCACCAAATCTCATAACGATGTTTGTGAGCCACCATGTGGTTGCTGGGAATTGAACTCAGGACCTCTAAAAGAACAGCCGGTGCTCTAAACCTGTGAGCTATCTCTCCAGCCCGTTGTTTGTTTTTTCAAGACAGGGTTTCTCTGTGTGGCCCTGGCTGTCCTGGAACTTACTCTGTAGACCAGGCTGGCCTCTAACTCAGAGATCCGCCTGCCTCTGCCTCCCTAGTGCTGGGATTACAGGTGTGAGTCACTACTGACCAGCTTTATAATGCTTTTTTGAGAAGTGAAAAAGAAATAGTGGCATAGGGTGTTCTGACATGGCTGGCAGGAAAGGGACGGTAACACAGCACCTACCCACTGTTTGGGGTGGTCCAGCTTGGTGCACAGTGCACCCTGGCTGTCATCTGTAGTTTGATGAGCCCCTTCACTTACTCCTCAACAGTCGGAATTGGTGCCTTCCTCCCTGTGGGTTGGGTTGATGGTCACAAAGGTGTTGCCGCTGCATCCTCTGACGTGTGCTTCTGTCGCTTTAGGTGGAATTGGAATCACCTGTTGGATTTTAGTCTGTAATAAAGTTGTGGCTATTGTACTCCACCCTTTCAGCTGAGGAGAAAGAAACGCAGCTACAAGACTTTGCAGAATGGATTTCACAGGGTAAAGAGCTGATCGGTCGATCGCACAGAAGCCCAAGGGTTCTGGCTTGTTCGCGTTGGAATATGTTTGCTTTGTTCATCACCGGGGAGGCTTGTTCAAGTCAGGATCTTCTATACTTGTCATTGAGCCAGAAAAAGACCAGTTATGACACACATGTCCCGTTGACATAGATTTGGATCCACCGAGTGGCATTTGCATGCTGGCACTTGGGCTGGGTATAGTTTGGTTCTGTCAACAGCTGTAAAGACTTCCCTAACAACTCCAATAGTGCTGTTTTTAATTTTAGAAAAAAAAAAACACTTTTTTTTTTTTAAAGAAAAAATACCACTACTAGAACTCTGCTTTCTATTTCATGAAGTTCAGCTGAAAGCAACACTATTGGATGTTGCTTATACTTGTCCTTCAGTTTGAAATGTCATGTTAGACCAGGTTCAGTGTGTAAATGTGTGAAAAGTATCTTCATGTATTCAAGCCTACTAACTTTTCATAGTGGTTCCTACGTGTGTTCATATGATACCACATTATATTATTTTTATTTAAAGCATTTCAAATGAAGTATGTCTTTAAAGCATTGAGTGTGTATGCCGTGTAGAGTGGAATGGAATTAAGCAAGTTCTAGTTCATTTGAACTGAGACTTGTTTGGCTCATGAAGTTTCAAGGCAGAGTTCTGCCAAGTCTGGGTGTTTTTGTTTTTGTTTTGAGACAGTCTCTCAATGTGGTCTTGGCTGTCCCAGGACTCTGTATGTAGACCAGGCTGACCTGGAACCCACAGAGATCCACCTGCCTCTGCCTCCCAAATACTGGGATTAAAGGTGTGTGCTGCTACACCTGGCTCTAAGTCTGTTTTTGAAGCACTTTCCCTAGTTACAGTATTTGCCAGTCCTGACAGCCTTATTGCAGGAGCAGTGCCTCAGGGCCTGGAGTGTAGGCTGTGGTCTTTGGCCCTGGGGAACCATAGCACAGAAAAGCTATATGCTATTACTATCATGTGTCTCTGCACACTCTGGCTGTCCTGGAACTCACTATGTAGACCAGGCTGGACTGGAACTTACAGAGATCCTGTCTGCTTCCCAGCTGCTGGGATCAAAGCATAGCACTGGGTTTTGAAGGATCATATTTATATTCTATGTCTCCTTATCATCTGTCTCATAAAAAGTTTGTTTTTTTGACTGAATGTACTGTGAATAGGCCGAGTGCACGGCCCTTTGGTTTGTTGTCAGATGGAATAGGAATACCCCCAGAGCAGGCTTGGGAGTCCATGGATTTAAACTCAGCAGACACTGCAGACTTAGATGGCACCAGGGTTACTTGGCGTATTTATAAAGGGCACAAATGGAGTGTAGCGGTAGGGTAGCCAGCATTGCCAGGAAGACCTGTTGAGCAGCTCCAGCATTCTCACCACTCAGGAAACACGAGGGAGGACCTGAGGAGTTTGGGACAGCACTGGAAGATGGAAGAATCTGGGCTCCCTCCAGGGACTTGGCCCCCGGGGTCCGGGTTGGACGTGTACCTTGTCCTTTTTGTGGTGAGCTGCAATCTGGAGTGGTGCTTAAGCCTTCACCATTTACTGGGGTTGAGACCATGAGCATCTCAAAGTATGTGTAATTCCAGCTGACCCTGCAGGGAAAAGTGACAGGAGGGTTAGTTTGTTCCCAAATGTTAGTGCCCCCACATGCATAATGTGTGTAAGACTGAGCGGGGGTCGTCACTGTGTCTTTCCCCCCAATATTGTATTTGTTTAAAACTGGGTAATAAACATTGAATTAACAAGGGAAAGGGTGCAGTGGGAAGCGTGCTCTGTCCTGGCTGTCACGGTTTCGCAGGCTCTACTGTTAACCTGCTTCTCAGAGTTTCCAAGGACACGGTCCGTGTTTACGAATGTTGGTGCATTCACTTAAAGCCTTTTAAAAAAGTATAAAAGGAAAAAAACCCTGAAAAATCAGAATTATTAACTTCTTAAAATATTTTAACTTTTTGAGGCAGGGTCTTACTGTGCAGCCCCGGCTGGCTTAGAACTCACCCTGAAGACCAGGCTGGCCCAGACTCAGATCACCCTGCCTCCTCCTCCTGAGTGTTGAGATGTAGGTGAGAGCAGCCACAGCCAGCATCATTACCCCATCAGAAGGCAGTGTTCGCAGTTTCTAAAAGTGTTGATATTCACTAGCCCGTGAACATCTGGAGACTGTGGCCAGTTCCAGATTAGGAGTAAGTTGTAGCAAATGAAGGCAAGTCACACAGTACAGGCTGGGAATACAGGTCCTTTATAGCTCCAACCAAAATGTTAGACCTGAGCAGCTGGCTTGAGCATACAGTTGTTTTAGGACAAGAATAAGAGAAAAGGACATTATGTAACAAAATAATAAATCTCCACAACAAAAATACAGACTTCTGTGCAGGCACAGAGGGGACTCTTAAAGGCAGGCACTTAGATGCTCTCAGCTCTGCTGAGCAAGAGACCAGTGACTCATGACTCATGAGGCCAAGCTTGAATCCCATACTGTCTTTTTTTTTTTTTTTTTTTTTTGAGTCTGCTGGCCATCTTGCTGGCCACTGCCTCTTCCATGCAGCTTTGACAACAGTCCTGCTGACAGAATTTGTGTGCCTTAGGCTGACCCAGAGTCACTGTGAGTCCTGGATCTCCAAGCTCAGTAATAAACCAGTCTTCTTGAAAAGAGTGGACACGTCCCACCTTTACAATAAAGATGTAAGTTTGTATTTAAATGTTACCATTGATTAAGGTACAGTGGATTATTTTATTAGATAGCAATAAAGCAAATTACCCAAATAACCCTAGGTCCATCCAAGTATTAAAACAGATACTATGTAAGCCCTCACACAGTAAGATTAAAGGCACGTAACTGGCATATAAACCAGAATGTATTAGGCTACTGTTGTATTTAAATAACTGTTTTCTTGTTTCCTTCTGCGGGTGAGGTCTGGAGGGACCGCACCACCGTGGCTCTAGAGTCCCCGAAGGCGTTGCTGGCGGAGGCCTGGCCGGGCCCGAGCTGCTGGGCCTTGCTGGCCGCCTCGCCACCGGTGGTGGGGCCAACCCTGCCCGCGAAGCCTGAGCCGAACAGCTCCTCCATGAGGCTGTTCTTCTTGTCCCGGAACGCCGTCTCTTTGGCCTTGGCCCTGGCGGCCTTGCCGAACGAGGGCTCGTAGCCGGCAGGCTCCAGCTGCAGGTCCTGGTCGCTGCGGTACTTGCCCGTGCCCATGCTGTGGCGGCAGCGTGGGCTGCCTGAGGCCAGCCCGCAGGACGTGGGCAGCCCGTGGTGCAGGTTCTCGGTGGCCTCGGTGAAGGAGTAGTGCTTCCGCTGCCGCGGGGTCTTGCGCGGGTACGGCCCGTGCTCCACATCCTCGGCCGCCCGGGCCTCGAGCATGCCACCCACTTCAGCCACTGCCTTGGCCGGGACCTCAGCCTCTGTGACCTCGGGGGCCTCGCTTCCCCTTGGGATTGGCTCTACTTCTGGTGGGATGACTTTCTTCTCTTGATCTTCCCTTTTCTCCTCTTGCATCCTAATAGTTTCCACACAGGCTGGTGGTTTTGGGTGTTCGACCTCCATTGGTAAATCTGCATTGGAAAGATGAAGATTAAATGCTCTCAGACAGGAAACAGAAGCACCCCGTCCCCGTCCCTGTCCCCGTACCCATCTCCGTCCCCGATTGCTCAGTGGCTCAGGGTGCAAGCTGAGGGCCTGAGTAATCCATCCTGTCCCTGGCATTCACTAGAAAGCAGAATCCCAAAGCTGGGGCATGGCTGTGCCCGACTGTATGCCCAGCACCGTGGGGCTGAGACAGGCAGATCCTGCACTAGGCTAGCGGGGAGCTTCGTTCAGTGGTGGCCCTGCCTCAAAGCGGCAGGCCGAGAGTACTGGAGGCAGTGGACATGGTGGCCTGCCCCGGTCCCCACCGGTGTACTTGGGGCTGAGGGTGTGGCTTAGTGATGGAGCACTTGCCTAGCATGCCACGGTGCCAGGTTTCATGCCCCAGCCTGTAAAACCAACCAGCCCCAGACAGAAAATCTCAGTGGGTTTCCATTTCAGAATGGCATGTCAGCACACCGCTCTAGACTTGCAGACAAGCCACTGAAAGGACACAAGGTGAACACGGACACTGACACACGGAAGAGGGCATTGCTGATAGGGTTTCCTAGACTGTCCCAAATACATGGGGATTAAGAAAAAAAGATTATTCATGCATAAAAAAAGATTAATACTAAGAAGCTTGGCCGGGTGTTGGTGGCGCACACCTTTAATCCCAGCACTTGGGAGGCAGAGGCAGGTGGGTCTCTGTGAGTTCCAGGCCAGCCTGGTCTCCAGAGCGAGCGCCAGGACAGGCTCCAAAGCTACACAGAGAAACTCTGTCTTGAAGAACCAAAAAACAAACAAAACAAAACAAAAAACAAAAAAAGAAGCTCTGTTCTCTGAGGATATTAAGATATGTTAAACATGAATTAACACAAGACCCTTTTCTACTCATCAAACAGGACTCATTTCCATCAGAAGCTGAGGGAATGGCCCACTGAGGGGGTGTGTAAATTGACTGTTTCTAGTGGAATTTAAGTGAATACATCTTAGGCCCAGCACTTTCATATCTAAGAACAAGCCCACACAACCAGATGGCTGCAGGACTGTGTATGCAGCAAGCATGCTTTAGTTCAGTCAAACGCTGCAAATATGCCAGAGGAACAGTTGGTGAAGGGCAGACATCAGGGTGCAGTTGGGGTTCTGGGCAGCTATGGGCAAGCGGCTTTATGGGAATGACGATTCTACACAACAACGTGAGCTACAGGCATTTTGCATTTGTTCCTGTTGGTGTGTTTGTGTGCGCACACCTCACCATAGTATATTATCAAACAATTTATCACATGAACAAATTCCCCAACTTGGCTTAAAAATAAGTGGAAAGGGCTGGTGAGATGGCTCAGTGGCTAAGAGCACCAGCTGCTCTTCCAGAGGACTGAGTTTCAATTCCCAGCACCCACATGGCAGCTCAGTTGTCTGTAACTCTAGTTCCAGGGGATCCATCAAGCTAGGCATGCATGTGGTACACATATCTCTGCATGCAGGCACAATACCCATATGTAAACACATTTAAAAAATAAGTGGAAAAGTCAAGTGAACACTGACCTCGGGGAATGCATCAGCCTTATGAAGGAATGCTACCAAAGTTGTTAATTTAAACTTTGGTTGACTTCACAGCAAAGGCATGGCCCTGCCAGGTCCTCTACTCAGCTCTCCTCTCAGGCTTGAGGAAATGCTCACTTTCTGCTCAACTTTTCTAAGGAAAATGACAATCTAAAATTTTAACTATGTGATTATCAGTCATCTGTCTGGGTGCAAGAGCTACATGTCAGATCAAAGGTGCAGATCTGCCCAATGGCCACCTGTCCCCAAGAAGCTCTAGGAGGCAGTGTGCTCTTCAGACAATGAGATTTGCTATGCAAAGATGAGGACAGGGGCTGGGCGTTGGTGGCACACGCCTTTAATCCCAGCACTGGGGAGGCAGAGACAGGTGGATCTCTGTGAGTTCGAGGCCAGCCTGGTCTCCAGAATGAGTGCCAGGATAGGCTCCAAAACTACACAGAGAAACCCTGTCTTGAAAACAAACAAACAAACAAAACAACAACAAAAGGATGAGGACAGGGTTTAACAAACAGAAGATTCAGTGGGGAGGCAGGTGGTCATGGGAACCTGAGGGAATTCTGGGAGATCCCAGCTGCATCCCTGCAGCAGCCAGGCCAGGACCCACCCATGCATCCTCACTCCCTTTTCCTCCAGGCTCCCTGCTACCAGGAGAGCCAGGGCTCTGCCCCGCCCCGTGACCTTGGGGACTGACTTGACTCTGCCTGCAGGCTGGTTGGCTGAGGCTCCTTACACCCACAGGGGCATCGTGCTCTGAGTGGCTCTCCAGAGCTTGACACTAGTGATCTGAGGTCTGGACACTCGTTCTCTGACCTCTTCCTGTCTTGGATCTACCCACAGGAGTATGTTTTCCAAGGTAATTCATGACCCTGTCCACTGAGTGGGTCTGAACTTGGCTGTGAGGCCCATTGTGCCTGGTAGGAGACCCTTTAAAGCTGTTCAGTTACCTTCATATTTTCTCTTAGGCTCCTCTTGCTTTGGAAGTTTACACACACAGTAAGAAATTTCATGGTTTATTTCAGTTGATTTTTCTTTATGGCCAATGCTTCCAATTGTCTTTTTACCCTATAATTTAGAAAAGCAGTAAAAAAGCATGTATTTGGTATATAGAAATATAATTTTGAATTACATTTTAAAATAAATATCCATGCTTTTTGTATACAACGAATGACTGCTTTTAGTTGTCCTCCCCCCCCCCTTCCGAGTTTCTTGTCAAACAGTCCTGGCTGTCCTGGAACTCAGGCTAGTCTTGAACTCAAGAGTTCCACCTGCCTCTACCTCCTTGTGTTGGGATTAAAGGTGTGAGCCACCACATCCACAGCTAGTCTGTTTTTGTTAAGACAGTTTTTAGACAAAGCAAGATTTCAGAGTTCTCATACCTTCGCTGTCCATGACGGGACATCTGACTTTTGAGTTTCCTGGTGTCTCATATTTACAAATGGTAAACTTTTTCTGTCTGCTTGTACTGATTTTGTTGAAGAAACTATAAAATAGGTAGGTAAGATATGAGAAATGTTTTATATTCAGAAGCTTTACTGCTTTTGAATATGAAGTAGCTCTTAAGCATGCAATATAACCATACCATATAATATTATAGGACACGTTTAGTAAATAGGCAACATGTGGGGGTGTTTTCCTCTTTTCCCACCTTCCTTTTGTCTTATTTTAGGCCTCAGAGGTTATGAGCACCATGCTGTTTTGTTCTTCTGGTAAGGGGATTGTGGGAGGCCAAGCCACTGCCACACCATGCCAGAGCACCTGAGGCCTGGTGAGTGGCTTGTCCACGGTATTGAACACTGAAACTTCCTCATGTTGACAGCAGACACACCATCTTTTCCCGTAGGCATTACTCAGACTACAGGTTACAATCCTGGGTGAGGGCTGGAGAGATGGCTCAGCGGTTAAGAACACTGACTGTTCTTCCAGAGGTCCTGAGTTCAATTCCCAGCAACCATGTGGTGACTCACAGCCTCCTTAAATGAGATCTGGTGCCTTCTGCTGGCATGCAGGCAGGATAAATAAAATCTTAAAAACAAACAAACAAACAAAAAAACAATCCTGGGTGAATGGAGGCCAAGAAATGAGAGGTTGCTGCCTTTGAAGGCAAACCTGGCTGCTACTGCTCTAGAGGTGAGGTGAGGCTTCCACAGTGCCTTCTCTGAGCCGAACTTGAGGCTGGGAGGGGTGCACATACTGTTTTACACAGCGTGTGTGTGTGTGTGTGTGTGTGTGTGTGTGTGTGTGTGTGTATAAGCGTGCCCGTGCGTGTGCACTTGTGTGATACTGACCAGTGATGGTTACACGGCTGTAAGCATTTGCTCACACCACAGGTACATGCTATAAAATGTCCTCAAACAGCTTCGTGTCCAGAAGCTGCACACTGGCTTCTACATCTCCTTAGAGGGCTCTGTTTGGCTTGTTTTTCTCCTGTTTTGTTTTGGCCTGGGGGGGGGGAAGGAGGGGCAGAAGGCACTGAGCCCAGTGGGAACACGAGCATTGCTGTTTCTTTGACGGTATCGCAGCTCCATTTCTACGATCACAGAGTGCATTCCATTGCAGACTCAAGCGGCTGTTGAAGGGTTCCTATATAAACCTGGAAAATATTAGCCACTTAAATTAGTTTTTGAGCAAAAGAGACCAAGACATACCTTTTGGGTAGTCTTCCTTTTCATGTAAATTTTTAAATATCCGATTAGTGTAGATGTTTTTAATTTCCAGCTCACGATCCTTCTCCTGAAAAGAGCCACAGTGTCAGTTTCCCGTGAACACTTGCTTTATAAACCTTGATTTAAAAGGGCAGTTTAAGAGAAAAGCTCTGCTGGGTATGGCAGCCACTGGTTACACACTGTCATTTAAAAGTGAAATAAAGCTGGGCAGTGGTAGCGCATGCCTTTAATCCCACCACTCCGGAGGCAGAGACAGGCGGATCTCTGTGAGTTCGAGGCCAGCCTGGTCTACAGAGCAAGTTCTAGGAAATGCTCCAAAGTTACAGAGAAACGCTGTCTTGAAAAACAAAGAAAAAAAGTGAAATAAAATAAAAATTCAGCCTTCAGTCCCTCTCCCCATACTTAGTGACCACGGTATTGCACAGCAGATATAAAGCCCTTCATCCCAGCTTATGTTGGACTGTGCACATGGGTGTGCAGTGGGTAAGCCCTACAACAGGAAACCATAGTTTTAAACGAAACAATGCTTTTGAATCATAGCACAACAAAAGCTTTCTCAGTCTTTTTTTTTTTTTAAGATTTTATTATGTATACAACATTCTGCTTCCATGTATATCTGCACACCAGAAGAGGGCACCAAATCTCATAACGATGGTTGTGAGCCACCATGTGGTTGCTGGGAATTGAACTCAGGACCTCTGGAAGAGCAGTCAGTGCTCTTAACCTCTGAGCCATCTCTCCAGCCCCGCTTTCTCAGTCTTAACCTGTTGGGGGTAATAAAAGAACTAAGAACCTAATGTACCTCCTGATGTTATATATTGAGACAAGCCTGCCTGAATCCATCTCCATTCTACCTCTGACCATGAAAAAATGTCAGTGAGGGAAATATGACAGACCCCTGTCTGTCTGACCTATAGCGTATAGGCTTTATACTCTTACAAGTTTTTTAAAGTTGTTTTTGGAAGGTTTTGTCAGAATGCATATATGTGCGCCATGTGTGAGCCTGGTGTCTGCAGAGGCCCAGAGAGGGGATTAGATCCTCTGGAACGAAAGCTGTAGTGAGCTGCCTTGTGGCTCCTAGGCTGAACTTGGGTCCTCTGGAAGAGCAGCCAATGCCTTTTTTTTTTTTCCCCCCTTCCGAGACAGGGTTTCTCTGTGTAGCTTTGGAGGCTGTCCTGGAACTCACTCTGTAGACCAGGCTGGCCTCCAACTCACAGAGATCCTCCTGCCTCTGCCTCCCAAGTGCTGAAATTAAAAGGCATGTGCACCACCAACGCCCAGTCAGACAATGATTCTAACCTCTTACACATTGCTTGTCCTTTATTCTTATGCTCTATTAGTCATAAAATTTTATTTTGATATGTATGTAAGTGGGTAAGAAGTAATATCTTTTCTAGAGTGTATACTTCTAGAAGCGAAGTATTATGGGCCATCTCCCCAGTTCCTGCTCCCTCATGATTTGACAGTTAGCTCAGAGACTGGAAATGCCAACAGTGATGGCTGTGACAGCCTAAGCCTATGGAGGCCAGAGGAAGGTGCTGGATCTCCTGGAACTAGTTAAGACAGTTGGAAGCTGCCATGTGAGTGCTGGGAGCCAAACCCAAGTCTTCTGCAAGAACAGCAAGTCCTCATAACTGATGAGCCATGTTCCAGCCCAGAGTGCTTTCACTCACACTGCTTTTGATATAGGTTTCAGTGTTTATAGGGGCACACATTTTGGTATTGGGAGAGCTCAGTCCTGTCTTTTGGTTTGATATGAACGTAATCAGCTGACAGATTGACTGCTGATGAGCTGATTCGGGGTTGGGTACAGTCAGAAGGAAGCAACATGAGGGATAGTCCTTAGAAGAGAGAGAGGACCTGTGACAGAGCTGGGCCACACTAAGACAACAGTTTTGGTACACCACGCAGGACACTTGTGTGACAGTCAGCAGAAGAAGATGGACCACAGATGAGAACAAATGTCACAAATGCTGTGGGAGCATGAGAGGAGGCGGCAGCGTTTTGGTAGGTGCTCCCTGGGGCTCACCTGCAAGCCCAGGCCACAGCATCTCACTGGGATCTGTGGAAGGCTGACACCCATTGAGTGTGTTGTATTCTTCATTGGCTTTCTGTTGGAAGTTCTCAGACATGGTTTTTATGATGTGTTTTTATTATAGCCACTTGAACATGTGCTCCTCACCTGTAATCAGATGTTTCTCTCCCACCCACCAGTTCCCAAATAAGGACACGGAGGCTTATATTAATTGTAAATGCTTGGCCAATAGCTCAGGCTTATTATAAACTAGCTCTTACATTTTAAGTTAACCCCTATTCCTTATTTATGCTCTGCCATGTGGTGGTACATAGTGGTGCCATTAACCTGGCATATTCATCTCCTGCTCTGTGTCTGGCTGGCAACTCCTCTGACTCCACCCTTCGCCATCTCATCATTCTCAGTTTGGGGTTCCTGCCTAACTTTATCCTGTTCAGCTATTGGCCAATTAGCTTGTTTATTAAACCAACCATTTGACATTTATTCACACAGTGTACAGAGGATTATTCCACAGCACTTACCTATAATTTATTTGTGAGAATAATATCAGTTGGTTCATGAAAGTTCCTGCTCAACTTTTGCTTGGTAAAGTGGAGTCACCCAGTATGAAGCACAACCTGAAGCCAATGTGCTATACAACAAAGGGTGGCTTAGAGCCAGGCACAGTCTGAACTCCATACCCAGTAGTGAACAACTCAGACTTAACTACTTTCCTTTACACACCCACCGTCTCTGACACCACTTTCCAGCCCCAGAGTATTGTAATCAAATCCTAGTTTTAATTTATCCTGTCAGTATTTCAGGGTCTACAATAGAAAGGAGTGTGTCTCTTAGAAACCTGAGGACAACACTGGGCAGTGCTGGTGCATGCTTTCAATCCCAGCACTCAGGAGGCAGAGGCAGGCGGATCTCTGTGAGTTCCAGGACAGACAGGGCTGTTACACAGAGAGAAACTGTGTTTGGAAAAAACAAAAAACAAAACAACCCCCCCCAAAAAAACTCACCAAAATTAAAAACAAACAACCCCCCCAAACCTGAGCACAATAAAATTATACCTATCCTAAAATTAAAATAAAGTATCAATGCCATCAAATCTATTTTTTCACATTTTTTTGCAATTGTCTTTCAATATTTTTAGAGTTTGTTTGAAATGAGGTCCAAAGTCTTTGTTGTGAATTACCTAGTGGATCCCCCCCCCCCATTTTTTCGCGACAGAGTTTCTCTTTATTGTTTTGGAGCCTGTCCTGGAACTTGCTCTGTAGGCCAGGCTGGCCTGGAACTCACAGAGATTCACCTGCTTCTGCCTCCTGAGTGCTGGAATTAAAGGCGTGCGCCACCAACGCCCGGCTACCTAGTGTTCTTTCACTGAGGAGCTGCACACATACCTTATTGGTGTGCTTTGCTGCTTGTATGTGGAAGGCATGGGCAGATGAGTGTTGATTACTGCTAACAGCTTCTCTGGGAGCCTTTTCTGTACTCATCTGAGCTGTGTGTGGTCTGAATCAGGGTGGTTCTTTGGCATGAATTCTCCAGGGGGTGGGGGGGGGAGAGACAGGGATAAGACGGGACACTGCCTTTTGGATTCTCTTTTGTCATGTTACTGGCAATTAATAGCCATTGATTAGAAATATTGGTTCATTGGGAATTAAAAACTAATGATATTCTCTGGCCCTATTGCTCCTCCTTCTTTATTAAATGGAATGATTTGTAAGGAGAAATGGCCCCCTTCACACCTTTGGGTCACTTGGACACAGTTCACGCAGGAAAGTTAAAAAAAAAAAGCGTTATCTTTTAAAAATGTTTTAAAATGCTGGTTCCCTAGCATTCTCCACAGACAGCAGTCACCGAGTCACTGGTGTGCACGCTGTTTGAGTGTACCACACACCTGTGCAAATGTGCGTGCCCAGTAGGTGATGCACAGAGGACAGAAGAGGGCACTGGCTGGCCCTCCGACAGTCTGTGTATTTCTCGCTGAACCTGAGGTGCCTGATGTCTGGGCTAAGCTGGAAGCTAGCAAGTCCCAGCAATCCTCCTGTCTCTGTCTCCCTCAGAGCTGAGGGTAGGTTATAGGTGTGCATGGGTCACCCAACTTGTTACATGTTTTAAACTCGTCTTAATGATTGCACAGCAAATGCTCCTAATTGTAGAGCTTTCTCTCCAGACCTAGAGTTTTGTTTAAGAATGGTGGACTCTTGGATTTCATCATTTTCAACTGTTCAATTATTATTTTTCCTTTATATAAAATGCTATTCTTTGATAATTCTCATTTCCTTTTGTTTTTTTAAATTAATTTTTGAGTCAGGGTCTTGCTGTATAGCCTAGGCTGCCTTTGTCTTGAATTCTCCTGTTTCAGCCTCTTGAGTGCTGGGATGCCAAGTGTATATATCATGCCTGACTATCTTTTTTGCTTGTCCCCTACAAGGTGACAGTTTCTCTGTGTGACAAGCCTTGTACATTTCACGTACAGTTCTAGACTTCTTTAAGATGTTCTCATTCTCTTTGAACCAGTGGACATTAGTGGTGTCCTCTGTTACTCAGTCTCATTGGGGACATGCAGCTTCTAAAATAATACACTGGGAAGTTGTACTTATACTTCAGATCAAAACCAGGACTGTGGACTTTTATTTAACTTTTTCTTTTTCCAGTGTTTTCTTTTTTCCATTCCCTAGAACCCTATTTAGAAGGGCACCAACATTATTTACAATGTTTCCAAAGCATCACACCATCCCCAAAACACACACACACACACACACACACACACACACACACACACACACACACACACACACACACACACACACACTATGTTACTTCTGAAACCATTCACATTTGTGTGTGAAGTTATCCCAACTATGTCTGGCTAGAGTTCATTAAAATTTCTGTGCTACGTCACCTGGAATGGCATTTCCCCATGTAATACATAGTTGGTGTGGATTTTCAGTGACAGCTTTTCAGGTTTTTATACTTATCTCTGTGTTGTGGCTGTACTGTTGTTTATGTTACAAAATGACAATGAAGACAAGTCTTAGGAGAGTGAGTGAGTTTCTCTCACCACAATGCATAGTGATCTGACTGCTCACTCTCTCTGCTCATAACTGTCTAAAGAACAACTTGAGGACATCATCGGTCTAAGTTACTGTGGTGATTGAGACACTGTTTTGGAAGGAATACCTTAAGCTTCTGATGCAGCTGTCTCACTTCCCCCTGCAGGGTCTTTGTCGCTGTTTGAGCTGCTAGCGTCTTCCGGTTTTCTTTGGCCAACTGCCGACTAAAGGATCGATTGTTCAGCCTCAGCTGCTTTTCCAAGTTCTGAAAACAGTATATATTTCAACTACTCTGTAGCCAGCGTGGTGTCATGAAACTTGACTGCAATGAAACGGGCTACATTTATGACAGGTGCACATTCAACACAACTTTAGTCACTGGCTTAAGGGACAAACATTAGAACAAACAAAACCAAAGTCCCAGATCTCGGGTCTAGACAATAAATATATCTCCTCAGCCCAGTGCCCAAATGGTCAAACACACCCTGAAGAACCAGCAAGTACAGCCAGAGTCAAACCTAACAGTGGGACCCAAATGCGTTATTCTGCTGTCCTTGCAGATGGTGGCCTTGGCTCCTTTCCCTACAAGGTGCAGCCCCAGTGCAGGACAGGTGCAGCCCCAGTGATGGACAGGACTCCTAGAGATCAGGCGTGAAGGCTGTAATGGGCTCCATGCCACCCTCCACAGTGCCGGACTGTCCGACGGGGGAGGGGGCGACAACAGACACCTGCTAGGGGTGGCCCCCAGATGCACTTGCCCCCAGATGCTAACCTAGGTGTAGCAGAGTGACAGGGAGTACTGAGAGGTGTTGGTGCCCAACACCCATTCCATGAAAGACAGTCTTCTTTGAAAGAAAACCTTTCCAGCAGGACAGTACCATGAAGATGTGGGTGATTATCATAGAAAGCAGTCGTCTTTTGACAGCCAGGGCCTGTTGAAAATCTGTCATCTCTTCAGTTACTTCAACTCCATTCCTCCCCTTCTCCCTTCCCTCTCTCCTGTCTCTCTTCCCTTCTCTTCTCCTCCTCTCTCTCTCTTCCCTTCCCGTCCTCTCTCTCTCTCTTCCCTTCCCGCCCTCTCTCTCTCTCTTCCCTCCCCGTCCTCTCTCTCTCTCTCTCTCGCTTCCCTTCCCGTCCTCTCTCTCTCTCTCTCTCTCTTCCCTTCCCGCTCTCTCTCTCTCTCTTCCCTTCCCGCTCTCTCTCTCTCTCTTCCCTTCCCGCTCTCTCTCTCTCTCTTCCCTTCCCGCTCTCTCTCTCTCTCTTCCCTTCCCGCTCTCTCTCTCTCTCTTCCCTTCCCGCTCTCTCTCTCTCTCTTCCCTTCCCGCTCTCTCTCTCTCTCTTCCCTTCCCGCTCTCTCTCTCTCTCTTCCCTTCCCGCTCTCTCTCTCTCTCTTCCCTTCCCGCTCTCTCTCTCTCTCTTCCCTTCCCGCTCTCTCTCTCTCTCTTCCCTTCCCGCTCTCTCTCTCTCTCTTCCCTTCCCGCTCTCTCTCTCTCTCTTCCCTTCCCGCTCTCTCTCTCTCTCTTCCCTTCCCGCTCTCTCTCTCTCTCTTCCCTTCCCGCTCTCTCTCTCTCTCTTCCCTTCCCGCTCTCTCTCTCTCTCTTCCCTTCCCGCTCTCTCTCTCTCTCTTCCCTTCCCGCTCTCTCTCTCTCTCTTCCCTTCCCGCTCTCTCTCTCTCTCTTCCCTTCCCGCTCTCTCTCTCTCTCTTCCCTTCCCGCTCTCTCTCTCTCTCTTCCCTTCCCGCTCTCTCTCTCTCTCTTCCCTTCCCGCTCTCTCTCTCTCTCTTCCCTTCCCGCTCTCTCTCTCTCTCTTCCCTTCCCGCTCTCTCTCTCTCTCTTCCCTTCCCGCTCTCTCTCTCTCTCTTCCCTTCCCGTCCTCTCTCTCTCTCTTCCCTTCTCGTCCTCTCTCTCTCTCTTCCCTTTCCGTCCTCTCTCTCTTCCCTTCCCGTCCTCTCTCTCTCTCTCTTCCCTTCCCGTCCTCTCTCTCTCTCTTCCCTTCCCGTCCTCTCTCTCTCTCTTCCCTTCCTGTCCTCTCTCTCTCTCTTCCCTTCCCTCTTCTCTCTTCCCTTCTCCTCCTTCTGTTTCTCCTCCCTTCCCTTTTCCCTTCTTCCCTGAGAAACATTATTTTGAAATAACTAAACTGTGTGGACACAAGTCTGTCATCGTCAGACTGAGGGAGACAAGAAAAGCAAAGGGGGGTGAACAGACAGACAGTAATACTCTGGCAAGGGGCGGCAGCCTTCAGTAGGAGCTGAAAGCAGGTGTTCACTTCAAAGGGTGAGTCCCACTGCACACAGAGGGCCTGTGGTCCACAGGAGATGTCCTGTGAGGCCATCAGACCAGCTGCTTCCAGACAGACACCATCAGGCTGGAGCGAGTGCCTGCTCACTCAGGAGCAGACAGCAGCTCTGCGGCTTGAGCTCCTCCTTCCAGCCCCTTCCTTCCTTCCCCACATGTGGGGCTCACAGCCCTTGGGTGTGACTTAAGTTTACCCCCTCTCTCAATACTGGAACTTCTGAGATACAGACCTGTATTTTTTTGTCATTTGTCTCCATTTTCGCTGTAAGAACAGTCAGCCTGCGAGTCAGGTCTTCTCTTTCTGCAAGGTTTTTGTCTTCTGAAAGTTTCTGTAGGGCCTGCAAGGCGTCTTTGGTCCTCAGCAACTCACTGTCGGTTTCTCGGAGTTTCCTTGACACAATTCGCTCCTTCTCCTGGGACTTCCGAAGAAGCTGCCGTAGGTTCTTCACCTCATTCTGGTGCTTCGCTGTGATCTGAGGCAGATTGTTCTGTGAGTTCACATATTTCCCGATAGCTTTCAAGTGCCTAAGCTGAAGCTGTTTCAAAAACTGGTTCTCTATGACAGTGGCTTCCAGCTTGCGATGTATGTCGGCTAGCTCATTCTTCAGCTCTTTAATCTTATGAAGCCTGGCTGACAGTATCCGATGTGTCATGGCATCTCTTCTTTTGGCAATCGTTTGAATTTGAGAATTGAAAACTGAAGCATTCCAGATGTGCTTTTTCTCAGCTGTGATGTCCTTCTGGCCTGTGTGAGCAGACAGTGCAGATGGTTAGCAGCAGTGCACAACTGTGGCAACCCCCAAACACACATCAGTGCCACGGCACTAGGTGGCCAGAGAAGGCTCACTGAGTCTGCCTGCTGCTGGCTGGGCACTTTCTTTACACACACGTTTCTAACTGACACAACCCTTCAGTCCAGGTGCATCTATCTTGTTTCTGCAGGTTTATTTGAAGTCATCCAAGGTTATTTAGTCATGAAGTGACAGAGAATGGACTGAAAACTACATCTCGGAGTCTAAAGCCTGTGTTTAGGTATCTGCTGTAAAAGTTACTCAAAAATCCTGCCAGGTGTGGAGGCCCATTCCTGTATCCCAGCACTGGGAAAGCAGAGGCAGAATGATTGCCTGAGCTAAATGAGATGCCATTTCAAACAGAACACAAAGTATATTAAAAACTATTGTGCTGGATGGTTTTATGTCAACAGCACAAGCTGAAGTCATTTGAGAAGAGAGCCTCAATTAACAATATATCTCCACAAGATAAGGGTAGAGGCAATCCTGTAGGCCATTTTCTTAATTAGTGATTGATGGGGGAAGGCCCAGCCCTCCCCGGGTGGGTGGTTCTGGATTCTATAGGAAGGCAGGCTGAGTAAGCCAGGAGAAGCAAACTAGTAAGCAGTCTCTGCATCAGCTCCTGCTTCCAGGTCCCTGTCCTACTGAGTTCCTGTCCTGACTTCTTTGGATGATGAACAGTGCTGTGGAAGTGTACCTGAATAAACTTTCCTCCCCAACTTGCTTTTTGGTCATGGTGTTTAGAGACCAGTTCAGTGTGACATATGTCAGACATTTAAGCCACCACACAGTTCTCGAAGTAGGTTCTGAGATGACCCCCTTCAGTCAAATGTTTTTGTTTTTATTTTATGTGTATGGATGTTTTGCCTGTGCAGCACATATGTGCCTGCACGATTCCTACAACTGGAGTTATGGATGGTTGTGCGTCACCACGAGTCCTGAGAATCAAACCAGGTCTTATACAAGGACAACAAGTGCTCTTAACTGCAAAGCCACCTCTCCAGCCCCTAGTCCAGGATGCTTTCCTCCTGTTAAGTCAATTCAGGTTCCAGAGGACGGGTGTTCAAAGGCTTCTACATGAGGTTCTGTAACTCCAGGGCCTGTCTAACCATGACGTCATGTGCTAAGATCATGTACATGAGGGCTGTGTAACTCCAGGGCCCGTCTAACCATGACGTCATGTGCTAAGATCATGTACATGAGGGCTGTGTAACTCCAGGGCCCGCCTAACCGTGATGAGGTCTGTCCTTCCCTACTATAAAGGGGTCTTTAGCTCTTTGACACCCTGGTGAAAGCTATGGGTATTTCCCTCTGGAAAGCTCAGAATACATACAAACCTCCCCAAATTCATAAGTGCACAAACACACCCATATTAGAAGAATGATCCCTCCCCCAGGGTAGACGGAGAACTGATGAGCCTCCATATCCTGAAGTGGCACAGAGCATCCTGGACACATCTGGTAGCATCAGGCTGGGGAAAGCAGTCAGTAAACACAGCAGAGGAGACCCACAGACAGCAGGCTCCCCATCAGTTCCTTCCAGATACCATCCTAAGGAGTCCATATTAGCGCCCATTGCCTAAAAGAGCTCTGCTGGACAAGGCTACAGCTTCTTATTATATAATTATCCTTAATTTATGTTTCCCAATTCCTTCTGTAACAGCTCACCCATTGTGGTGGTTTGAAAGAAAATAGCCCCCAAAGGGAGTGGCACTATTAGGAGTTGTGACCTTGTTGGAGGAAGTGTGTCACTGTGGGGGTGGGCTTTGAGGTCTCTTTTGCTAAAGCTTCCCTCAGTGTGACAGCCATTTGACTTCCTGTTGCCTGCAAGATGTAGGACTCAGCTCCAGCACCTTGTCTGTTTATATACCATCATGCTTCCTGCCATGATGACAATGGACTGAACCTCTAAAACTGTAAGCCAGCCATCCCAACTAAGTGTTTTCTTTTTTAAAAAGATTTTATTTATTTATTATGTACACTGCTTCCATGTATATCTGCACACCAGAAGAGGGCACCAGGTCTCATTAAGGATGGTTGTGAGCCACCATGTGGTTGCTGGGAATTGAACTCAGGACCTCTGGAAGAGCAGTCGGAGCTCTTCACCTCTGAGCCATCTCTCCAGCTCCTTTTCTTTATAAGAGTTGCTGTGGTCATGGTGTCTCTTTATAGCAGGAGAGACCCTAACTATGACAGCTGTATGGAATATTCAGGAACATGCCCCTGTAACTGACTGTGGACCATCGTGGCAGGGCTGCAGCCTGGCATGGCCGTCTGACTGCTTACCTTTAAGCTGGGGGATTTTAGAAGAGTTAAACTTCCTTTTCTCCATCTTCCCCAGAGGCTGCTGTAGCTGATGTCTGTTGGCTTCCGAGCACTCGGAAAGAAAACCTTCTGAGTAGTCATAGTGGGAAGCCAGGCTTCTGTAGGAGCACTGCGACCTGCTGTAATCCACACTCCCATTGGAAGCCCCGCTGTTCTGGGACAGGTTGTCAGCTTTGTCAGGGCTACTTCTGCCTTCTGCAGACCTCCTGTTGCCTCCTAGTGCCAGGCTGGGGAAGTGCTCAGTCGTGTGTGCTTTTGTTGTGTCAGCCAGAGACATAGTCCACAACCTAGTGTGAGAAAAGGGTGCTTCAGTTTGTGAGCACTGGCACTAAAACGGGCCCATGCTTCAGTGCACTTTCTTTTAATACAATGAGTAATCAGGAATGTCAAACAGCACTATTTATTTATTTAGAGACATGTGTTCATTGTGCAGTCCTGGCTGGCCTGGAGCTTGCTATGTAGAACAGGCCAGCCTCAGAGTCACAGAGATCTGCCTTTCTCTGTCTCCCAAGACTAGGATTAAAGGCTGTGCCACAATCTCCAGCTCAGAACAATGCATTATTAAACAGCATTTTCTGGAACAGTCTCAATTTGGTCTTATATTATTTCTACATGAAATACAGGGCCTTAGGACCAGACATAAAACTATATCTGATAACAACACTGGTAACTTTTTGATTTATTTCTGTGTATGTGAGTGTTTGCGCGCGCACGTGTGTGTGTGTGTGTGTGTGTGTGTGTGTATGGATGCAGTACCTGTGTGTGTGTGTGTGTGTGTGTGTGTGTGGGGGTG